AACAGCACTCGGTTGGTTTGGTGGGCAGGATGGCACAATGGAGCAGAACAACGACTAGTTTGAAGCAGCTTTGTCATCTTTAGACTATTTAGACTTGGGCATTTCTTTGAGTCAAGAACAGATGGAGGTATTTTATTCTTTATTTAGAAAGAGGGTGTGTTTACAACTTCTTCAGTGGTGTATAGCCTTTAGTCTTTGGGGACACCTGGAAAAAAACAGATTTAGTTAAGTCACAAAAAGGTTTTCATGCCATTTAGAAGTGTATTTCTCCATAAAAGTCCTAAATAACTCTCACATTACCAATACTGGCCTTTGTTTGGAGTTGTAGTGTCCACGTCTAACAGACACTTGCGCCAAAGAAAACCACGCGCCATTATTTCAGCATAAACAGTAAGAAACATCTGTCATATTTGACCCCTGGAAATAACAGAGTTGCTACATTTCGCTTTGAATAAAGAGAGTATTCCAAATAAACAACCATGATGTAAAATTTGTAATGGCTTAAATGTTACTTAAGATATTTTTACATAAACTGCTAAGAAATATGACATTGGAGCCATTTTTAAAATGGGAACAGACTTCGGTTGTGGTACAACTAGACGTTAGCTTGTCAGTCCGGAAGGACATTCACTGTTCCTCATTCAGGAAGCCATCGACATTAACTTTAGAATCCACACTGAAACAATTTTAGAATGGTCAACATATCTCTGTGAGTATTGTTCAAAGCTTGTAAAGATTTTCTTTCTGAGGAAAAACAAGATTAGATTTGAACGTCTGATTAGCTGGCTAATTGGAAGGGAGAAAGCAGTGAATCAGCTGTTGTAGGACAAGACAAAAACACTCAGAGGACACAAAGTCCTAAATGCTAGATAATCATGCTCATCCATGCCTAAAGCCACAGAAAGCCCCAGCATGTCTGGAAACAAACAAGTGGAATAGTTCAACCGTTTCCAATAACGCTGGTAAACCCCTGGTTGGTCAAACTGAACCAGAGTGGCAGGAGCTCACACATCAACTGTTGAGTACTGCTGTGTTGTGAATGGACAGAAGCCAGCAGCCTCACGAAGGAACAAAACACTTGCAGCACATGTTCTCAGGTAATATCGCCATGAAGACTCTGGATTCAAAACATGTTGATGATCACATCTTGGAGATTTCCCTAATGTTGATGATTTTGTTGCAGAATTCTCCTTGACATTTCCAGCCACTTCTCCAACTTTTCAGCATCTTCTGAAAGGTTCTTTTGACACCCCAGCTCTGGACTGAACTAATATTTTCAGGGTTTTTGCCCTCGACTGGACTTCGGTTTTCTCTCCAAACGCCTTTCAGACAACATGCCGTGATTTGGTGAGCGGGCAGCGAAGAGCCAAGTGTCAGAAACCAAACAGGCCTGAGTGTGTTTTACATTTTCAGTAAAACACCCTGAAGAAATGTCCTTTTATTACCTTTTATTTGCCTCAGAGTTTAGTTCGAATCCTCCATTTGTCTTCTGCTTTCAGACTCTAACTTCTATTTTTGAGTAAACGCTTTGTTCAGATCACAGCGAGACAAAATCAGCTAAAAAAAAGAAAGTTTCAGCGTTTTCCCAGCCACAGGCCTTGGTTGTATCATTTAAATGTGATGTGCTCGCTCACTGTGTGAAGGTAAACGTTGGCTCAGAAATTCAAATGTCTTTGCTGACGCAGAACATATCTCCTGGATCAGCCATTGTAAGCCTGCTATTGTGTGTCTGAGAGTGACTGACTAAGTCTGTGGCATATGTGCAGCGCATGCTTGTCTCAGTGTGTGCACGCAGTAAATCAATGTGTGTGTGTGTGTGTGTGTGTGTGTGTGTGTGTGTGTGTGTGTGTGTGTGTGTGTGTGTGTGTGTGTGTGTGTGTGTGTGTGTGTGTGTGTGTGTACAAGAGTGTGTGCCTGGGCAGACTGTACACATCGGCAGGTTGGGTGTATGTATACAGGTGCACATATGTCGGTATTTTCTGTTTGCTTGTATCCCTGCAACTGTAAGGTGTGTGTGTGTGTGTGTGTGTGTGTGTGTGTGCACTTGGTACATATGTGCCACAATGGCATCATCACCCGCCCCTGACGCTTTGATTGTTTTCTTCGCCGCAGCAGAAATGCGCCAATTAATATGCAGAAAGTGAGTGAGACGGAGATGCACACACACACACACACACACACACACACACACACACACACACACACACACACACACACAAACAAAACACAAACAAAACTTAAAAAGAAAAAAATAGAACAGCCGTGAGGGAGGGAGACAAGAAGGATGGTGTGATGGGGGGGGGGGGGGCTGGAGAGATGGCACAGAGAAAGACAGAGAGGAGATGAAATGAAAGATGAGGAAAGTGTGTGTTTGTGTGTTTGTTGGGAGGAGGGGGGAGTAGGGCGTAGAAATCTGATAGATTTTTGAGTAAAACTAGAGGAGGAGAGAAAAAGAAAGGAGTGAGGGATGAGGCTGAGGAGCAGGAGAAGGAGGAGGGGATCAATATGTACATATTCAGTGAGATATGGTGGGAAATCAATTGAAAGGAGGGGTGGAGAAATTGATTTGAAGGAGGTGGGAGTGAGGGGGTCGTAGGGAAGGAGGGAGGAAGAGGAGGGGAGGAGAGTAGAGGTGGAGTGATATGAGGCTACGGCTGCTGTCCTTTTTGTCGCAGTGTCAGGGTACTGATACTGTAATACACCCCTCACCACCACCACAGCCACCACACACACACATACACACAAACACACCCCGACCCACCTCACCCTCCCATCACAATGCTGCCGTGACAACGGCTGTCGCGGCGACGCCTACTGGCACAATGCAGCCACAATACTAAGGGCACTGAAGCATCACGCACACACACACACACACACACACACACACACACACACACACACACACACACACACACACACACACACACACACACACACACACACACAGCAGGCCAGAGAGAAAGACAGACAAAAAGGGAAAGGGGGAAGAAGAGGAAAACAAAGGGGGGGGGGGGGGGGGGGGGGGGGGGGGGAATAAGGAGGGAAAGGTGGAGATTTAGAGAGAGAGAGGAAGATGGATGGAGAGAGTTAGGCAAGGGAAAGGGTAGGGGACATGGATTGATGGAGAGACAGGAACAAGAGGAGGAATGGAGGGTGTGTGTGTGTCGGGGGGGGGGGGGGGGGGGGGGGTAGTGGGATAATATTACATGTGTAAAATGCGGCGGGTGCGTGCCCATAGAAACATGTTTAATGGCTTTTATGATTGCAGGGAAGGAAGTGAAAGGTGTGTTTTCTATCTTTTTATTTGTTTATTTATTGTCAAACAATAACGTGAATTCCTATTGGACGACAATTTTGAGCAAATGTTACAGATGTAAATAAATCAGGCCTACAGGCATCCATATTCCACGATTATTTTATTAGTTACTCTCAGTGTTTTATATGGAATTTATCTTAAAGTTTGTGAAATAAATAAAATCGACATTTTTATTGAATATATATATTTTGTTCTTTCATTTTATATCATTTTAATCTTATCGTTAATAATAATAATAATAATAATAATAATAACTGAATGTAAAAAAATCATCCTGCTGGAGCATGTGTAGTGCATCCTTTTTGTTGTTGTTTGTCTGTTTTCTTGTTGTTTACTGTAAACTATAATTAACAACAACAATAATAACAATAATAATTATTATTATTATAGTAGTGATAAAAGCAGGCACATTTGCAAAATATGTTATTATTTTTTATTGAGTTAGTTTTTGTTGTTTGCTGTATGAATTTTTAAGAACTCTTATTTATTTACTTTGTTGCACAGTAATAAATAAAATAATAAAGTTAAATGGACACCTGTGTCCTCCAGGTTCTGTGTGAGATCTGAGTTTTTTCTTCTGAAGAATAATATTTTTGATTCCTGCCCGTCACTGGTGTCAAACTCTGATTTCACACAGAAAAGATGGAACCGAATAAAACACACACACTCTGCCCCCCCCCCCCCCCCCCCCCCCCCAGCATGCCTGCGTCGGTGTGTTCCTGGATCTCCTCTCAACGCTCAACCAGCTGCCTATAGCTCAGTTTGTCTGTGTGAGATGACCAACATCCCTCTTTTTCCCCTTTCGGTATTTCATACACGTGTGTGTGTGTGTGTGTGTGTGTGTGTGTGTGTGTGTTGTGTGTGTGTGTGTGTGTGTGTGTGTGTGTGTGTGTGTGATCTATAGTTCTCCTCTCCTCTCTCTCCCTCCCTCACCCTAACCCTTCTTAATATGATGTAAAAAGCTAATCGCATGCAAATGTCTGTTGTCCCGGTAACCGGGTCTGAAAAATCCCTTTGATGTTTCCCCCGACTCATTCTCTTCACGTTCTCTTTGTTCGCCACAGTCTCGCTGCTTTGTCAACATCCCCCCGCTCGCTCTCTCCTTCATCCATTCTGCGGCTCTCGTGGTTCTCAACATTCGAAAAAAGAGAAAAAAAGTTCTAACTCTACTTTGTGTCTTCCTCTTTCTATAAGCACCCCCCCCCCCCCTCTTTTATTTCCCCCCTTCATGCTCCTGCTCTCCCCTTGACTGTGCCTCTCTGCCTGTCTGCCCCTTCGCCCTCGCTCATTTCCCATCATTCCCACCTACTGTCTCCTGTCCTTCTCCTCTGTCGCTCCCTTTCTCTCTCCCTCTGTTATGCCCCTTCCTGTCCACCCCCCCCCCCCCCTTATCTCCCATTCCCCTCCCTGTGCCCCTCACATGCACAGATGGACTCTGAAAGTGCCCTCCCCCCCCAAAAAAAAAGGAGAACTTGATCCCCGGAACTATTTGATATGGCGCTGCACTGTAGTTATCTAATCATTCAGCTTTTTGTGGGGCGGCAGCAGCACAGCTGGCTCCCACGGAGGAGACCACACACTCATTACGGCGAGTCTGGGGATACAAGGTTACAGGCCTCATGTTAGGCCCGTTAATCCCCCCCCCCCCCCCCCCGACCCTCCCCCACTAACTCCCTCATCTCTGTGACATTTGGAATCCACTTTTTAATTCGACACAGAAACAAACAAAAGTACAATTATCAAGTAAGCGCAGCATGCATTGCCAACATTCTTGGAATTGTAAACATCTGGAGGAGTGGGTCGTACAAAAAAAGAGCATTTCTGCAATCACCAGAGAATCTGCATATGACAATTCAAACAGCTGTAAAAGTGAAAGATGGTGTTCATTACATTGCTTCCAATAATAATGCGATGTACCAAACAGCTAAAGGCTACGAAGTGTGCAGACTTCTTCAAGCCAACAAATTACTTATTGATTCAGAAACTGCTCAAAAGCCATTTGCAACTTCTGAATTTGGATGCAGATATGCTATTCCAGAAGCTTCATTACTGTACCCTAAAAAATAAGCATGTTTTTCCAGTTACATTGGTGATACCATGCTTGTGTAAGTGCTGCCATAAAATAGGAACTACAACACAGTGGTGAAGCATCTTGGGGCGTTAGGCTGAATTTAAAACTGCTCCATGGATCCTGTGCATCTTTTTCTGGGTGTTTCATATTCAGAGTATGTAAATAGAGCTCTGCAGTGTAACACTTCTATTAATAGGTCCAAATCTAGCAGAGTACAGGAGGAAGTGGGAGTTATTTTTATCTGGCGTTCCGCTTGTTGGGAGATTTTTAAAGGAAATGGTTTGACATAAAATTAAACTGAGAAGATGCCAGACCCATGACTTGGCTTGCAGCCTAGCATAGGAACCAGAATCGAAGAGAAACTAACGGCACAATAAGTGCACTTAGTTGACCGAATACCAAAACTGTGGCCACATTTATAGCTAGCTAACTAGCTCCTTAGTTTTTTTTAACCTTCCCAGTCATAATTAATGGCCTTTTCCACCAGCACCTACTCAGAGCGGCTCGACTTTACTATACATGTTTCCAGTGGTTTTCTATTCCAGTTCTTTACAGTAGCTAAAAATAAATTGTTACATAATACTATAATGCATTGTGGGAGGTAGCCCTAGTCAAACTAGCATGAATTTTTCAAGGGTGTTTATGTATCTGAGCCGCCCCGCTTGTTACAAAGCTGTAGTTTAGTCTCCTAAAGACGCTCACACAGCAAGGCAGGTGTTTGGGGAGGTGCAAATCAGACTCTAGATATTCAGATGAGATGTCACAAAGAACATTTGTTACTCTTTTTCCAAACATGGGTATGGTCCTCAACAGTATGACACAGCTGGAAAGGGGAACAGAGAAAGACGGACAAAGTATAGCGATGGCAGTATTTAGATGGACGAGCCGATTTTCCCAGTGTGGAGCAGATCAAGTGGTAAATGGCCTGTATTTGTGTAGTGCCTTCTTAGGTAAACAGCATCCAAACGTGGACAATTAAGGCTTTGACCAGTGGTGGGTGGTATGTAAAATGTAGTGACACAAATAACAACCGAAGTGTAAAAAAAACACTGTGTTTTTTCTAATTGCACATGTGGTTTGTTTGTCTGGCACTAGCAGCTAGCAGCACGTGCATGGTGACGTCAAGTGTAAAGTAGACCATTGCGAAATGGCTCTAGTGGATGGGTTTGATACAGTAGGGGGTGTCCCCTAGGGTTCAAAAAGTAGCTTAAGGAGGTCTGTACACCGCACAACCAAAACACAATGCAGCAATGGAGGACCCGGGTAGCAACAGTAAACGTTCTGCTCAGTCTGGCGTTTTTCTTTTCACATCTGGAAAGTGGAGACCAGAAAAAGGCTGAGGGCAGTGAGGCAAAACTCTCTGATGTACAGGGTAGTGTAGGTGACTCCACTCCCTAGCCTATCTGTGACTGACAATTTTCTGACATGTCATTTTTGAATTAGCATATAACTCTTGGAACCACATTAAAGTTGGTTCTAAAAACTCTGTTCTTGGCGAAAAAGGGAAAGCTTAGTCGAGCCATGCAGTGCGGGCGTAAGTGTATAAGAAAAGTTAGTTAGCTAGTGCTAGCGTGAAGCTGGACACGAGCAAGCTAAGAAAAATTTTGCATTTTCCCTTTTTTACCTTTATGTATTTTATACCTGATCATACTTCGGCATCCAGGCTGGGCACCAAAGTAAGGATTGCATTGAGCACACATGACTAATACTGCATTGAATCTTTGAACCCTTGAATTCCTGCCTTTTCTTACCTAATTATCATGACCCACTCCCCCCCTTCTAACAATCTTAAATACACACTGTTTATCATAACATCTCTAAAGATAAACTCATCAGATATTCCTGTCATGTGTGGTATGTTAAGACAGGTCTGTTCAGAAGCACTTCTGGACCATTTTGATGAATTTGACCCTTTTTTGAACCATTTATTGTTTTCATTTCCACTAGGATTGTGACGTCCATATTAGTTAGTTTGTGATCTTCTTTGGCAAAAGCCACATTTCTTGTCTCAAATCTAATCTTAGCTAACCATCTGCTCCCTCTCCAAATCTGCTATTTAGACACTAGCTTTACAAATTTTAATAAACAATTTTATATCCTAATACTGTGTAAAATATTAAAAGTAAACATAAAAATGACCCAATACAGAATAATAAAATGATAAAACACATTATTCAACATTTTGAGAACATAATACTGAGATGGATAATTATTCGTACAAACTGGTCTTTAAAAATCATCAGATGTAATCTGTTATTTTCTCCATAAACAAAAGTAATCAGAGTAGTATATTTTTCTCCATTTTATGGAGATGATCATACCAACTGGGAAAGTTTATGACAGTATCTCAGTGGACTGCCGCTGTTGGTGACGGGTTTTACACAATATGCTTTCCTGGATTTGATGGGGAGCCCCAGGATCTCAATCTAGTGGGAATTCTGTACCTTTTCCAAAGATTTGCAAGAATGGTTTTCTCTTCAAATAGCCACAAAGTTATTGCAGGTTTCTGGAACTCTTTTCAAATGTAGTTTTCCTGAGTGAAAAATGGAACTTCCTTGCTGAGACCTGACTCTACAGCAGCGAAAGACGACAAGACAATAGCAATCTCGGAAGGAGCCCAAACTGCAAACAAATACATGAAAATGGCTGACAAAGATCCAAGCTGAACCATGTTTAGAGGTCCCTGGCATTCCTAAATCCTTAACAATGCTGGTCACATCCCACCAGGACAATAGCTCTCAATGGGCAATCCCATGTTGTGGGACCAACTGCTGCTTACATTAACTACCATGTAGGAGCGGGGCAGTCTATACCAGGGACATGTGCAGCGATACACTCACGAATACCTAGGGTTTATGTTCAACCTCTGATCACTCTGGACATTCTGGTTTTTGGTACGTGGGAGAAAATGGAGTACACAAGGAAACCCACATAAACATTGGAAGAGCATGCTGACTGCAGCCTGGATTCAAACCAGCAACCATTACCATGCAGTTTTAATTAAAATGTAATACATTCTTGCATTCCCCAACTGTCACAGATCAATGAGATACTGACTTAAGAACATAATATAACTTTGTACACATGTCAACATTGCACTAACACCAGTTTAATACCTTTGGCACATAGGACAGGGCAACAAGCAATGAAGATAGTGTTCCATATGGGTCTGTGTCAGTTATGTGACTAGCACACACCAAGTCCCATCTTGGATGGTGAGCAGAGGTAAGCAAGTTGAAGGAAATGGGAGGGGAATATTGTTTTAGGATTTAAAGTATTAAATGGCTAAAAAGAAGATGATGGAAAAATACCATATCCAGAGAAACTTAGCAAAGAAGCCAGGTATCAATATTTAGCTAAGATAACGGCTATCAACATTAATAATCTGTATGACCGCACTATCTGGTCTAAGGAACAAGTGCTTGCACCAATTCAGAACTACAAATCACTCTAAGCTAACAGGGGAAAAAATATTATTTGAAGCTTTTCTTTAATTTGTCGTGCTCTCTTCACCAACCGAGTTGGCCTTGATTACCCATAAAGCACTGGGCACTAGCCATCGTGGCATCAGCTGACAAAGACCGACAGTTTCAGTGAATTGGAGAACAATTGTAAGGCACCAACATGTAGCAGAAACACTTTAAAGATGACTAAACACCATTTTGCATTGAAATCCTGCAACTTAATGAAAACACAATTAGATTACATGGTAACACTTTCCAATAAGGGTCCCTTTATTAACATTACTTAGTGTATTATTAAGCATTAATAAACCATTAAATAAAGTGTTAACAACTGCTATTATGCATTACTAAACATATTATTTAATGCATTATTAAGCAGTTACCTAAAGTCTATCACTAAACGTTAGTTAATGCAGTACTAAGCTTGAAATAACACTTGCATTATTTAATTACGTTGCATCATGTGTGTTAATGACCATTTTAGTTAATGTGTGAATCAACCCTTAATAATTATGAAAATGATTATTTATTATGGTTGTGTGTCTGCAGCGAATAAGCAATAAGTAACAGTCAACTAATGCATCCACTTATTCTACCCTGCACTTTGGATGTTACTTGGATGGCAATTAATAATCAATTAAGTAATGTCTTACTACTGCTGTACTGTGTTTGTCATCAGGAAGCCCTTACCTGACCTTAGGTATGGTAAAAACATTGATCCCATTTGGAAACACTTTCTAAATGCTTCATAGATGCCTAAGCATTACTTAAGCATTACCTAACATAATTAATGATTACTGAATGAATTTTGGACCCTTATTGTAAAGTGTAAAAATGTATGCCTTTTGAAACACTTTCTAAATGCTTAATAGATGCCTAAGCATTTCTTAAGCATTACTTAACCATAATTGATGATTACTGAATGAATTTTGGACCTTTAGTGTTACGTGTAAACATGTATCTCTTAGGAAACACTTTCTAAATACCTAATAGACTCGTACGCATTACTTAAGCACTACCTAACCATAGTTAAACATTACCAAATGAATTTTTGACCCTTATTGTAAATTGTAAACATTTATCCATTTGTAAACACTTTCTAAATGCTTAATAGATGTCTTAGCGTTACCTAAGCATTACTTAACTGTAATTAATCATTACTGAATGAATTTTGGACCTTTAGTGTTACGTGTAAACATGTATCTCTTAGGAAACACTTTCTTAATAGACTCATACACATTACTTAAGCACTACCTAACCGTAGTTAAACATTACCAAATGAATTTTTGACCCTTATTGTAAATTGTAAACATTTATCCATTTGTAAACACTTTCTAAATGCTTAATAGATGTCTTAGCGTTACCTAAGCATTACTTAACTGTAATTAATCATTACTGAATGAATTTTGGACCCTTAGGTTCAGTATTAGACTTTAGGTAACTGCTTAATAATGCATTAAATAAGATGTATAATAATGCTATGTAATGCATAAAAGCAGTTATTAACACTCTATTTAATGGTTTATTAATGCTTAATAATGCACTACGTAATGTTAATAAAGGGACCCTTATTGTAAAGTGTTACCGATTACATAAACACTTGAATAGATATGAAACCGCAAATCCCTCCCCTTCCTCATTAGAGCCAAGCTTACTGTACGTGATCAGATGTAGCTTCGCCTTGTTTGGCGACTGTACCAGGCTCTAGACTGGGTGCAGTGTGTGTGTGTGTGTGTGTGTGTGTGTGTGTGTGTGTGTGTGTGTGTGTGTGTGTGTGTGTGTGTGTGTGTGTGTGTGTGTGTGTGTGTGTGTGTGTGTGTGTGATTGAATGAACAGAGCTCCACTGTCCTTTAACAATAAGAGTGACTGCATGTGTTTGGAGACTGTTGTGTGTGTGTGTGTGTGTGTGTGTGTGTGTGTGTTCATGCTAACGCCACCCATTTACATAGACACAGTCCCACCTTGCGTGTGCCACACATTTTTTTGACGCAGATAATAAAAAGAAGGCCTACAGTTGTCCATTCAGCCCTCTGAGGATGATAAACTGCATAATTCATTCTAAATCTGCAATCCCATGCCGCGTTTGCACCCTGCATATTACTTCCTGTTTATTATCTGATTGTGAAGCATGTGATGCATGCAGACAGCCTGCCCAGAAAGTCGGTGGTTCAGACCAAGTGGTTTGGCCTAGCTGGACAGACAATGGCCACACTGTGTGGCTGAAGTGCCTTTAGTGTCGATGACTCTGCCAGATACCCAGGCTGGCAGATCCAAAATGGCGGAGTGCAGAGAGCCCCGCTGGGGCTTGTCATGGTCTAAACGGGGCAATTTTGATCCTGTTTGGATGCAGCTGCGTCTAATCCAGCAGCACGGGCGTTTGTGTTCCAGGAGATGAAGGGGAGAAGGGCGGAGAAGTTCCAGATAGAGTCAGAGGGTCCCTCTTTTGTCCAGTTTGCCTCCCTAAGAGCTGGATTAAAGACGTCTGAGGCTTGGAAAAGTCCAGAGTGCAGTCTGAGATTTTAGTAAAAGACAGAGAAAACAAATGTTTAACAACCAAGATTGTTTTTTTAAATCATAAAGACGAGTAGAAATGCTAAATGAGCAATGCAGAGACACGAAAAGAGCAGCAACACCACAGGAAACACACAATAAACATAAAAAAAATCACTCTTACTGAGATGAAAGTCACACTGCTGTGGAGGGAGATGGACTCTGGGGAGGAAAAAGGAATAAAAAACAGTGTTGTTTTATATTTTACTCAATTAAACACACGTACACGCACGAGCGGTAATCCTCGACCTGTTGTTGGAGCTATCTGCGTGTTTGCCCTTATCTGCTCAGCCTGCGAGTGTCCGTCTGTCTGTCAATCTGCTCCCTGCACAGCTTGTTTGCCAATCTGTCATATTCTGTTTACTAGACAAAGAGATTGAGGGAACGTGTGTGTGTATGTGTGTGTGTGTGTGTGTGTGTGTGTGTGTGTGTGTGTGTGTGTGTGTGTGTGTGTGTGTGTGTGTGTGTGTGTGTGTGTGTGTGTGTATGTTTGTGTGTGTTTGTACACAAACACAAATAGTGAGGATGTGTTGGATGGCGGGCCGGCTTCGGATGTTTGCCGACAGCTAAAGATGAATGCCGAGCCTCACGAACACAAAACGTACTTTTACTGCTTTTCATATAAATCACTTCAGGGAAACTGCGTCAGCTCCATCAGAATGTCACCACTAATTAAACATGTGCTACATGCAGTTGCATGACATTTTATGAGCTGCCATTTTTTACGGGTAAATAAAGAGTTTCAAGAAAATTCTTCTGGAACCAAGAAGTTTCCAGAACTAAAAGTGAGAAAACTCCAATTCTATCCAACCATCAGCCTGTTTGGGGAGCTGTTGCTCATACTAGAGGCCCAACAGAGAACCAACAGGGGAACAGACAACCATGCCTCTTACTCCAGATATGTTTTCTCCAAAAATGTAATGAGCCAGCCTCCACCATCTCCATCATTAGAACCCTTCGGTGTTTCCTAGCCAGCGTGGAGGTATGTTCCCCCCAGCCAACACATTCTCACACCCAAAGCGTCAAAATATGACGCGTGTGACCAAGCCTCAATATATGACGATTCGGGATGCCCCAGCACATCAGGAGACGACGATCAGGGACACGTGGCTCCGCTGGCGTCAGTGTTTGATGGTCCGCGGTCACACGGACATTATTCGACTATTTAACCTTCCCCTCACCCCAATCCTAACCTTAAGGTCAGTAACTGTGACCTTAAGGTTAGGATTGGGATGAGGGGAAGGTTAAGTTGTTCACAAGTCGTTCTAATGTCCGTCTCACCACCGGCGTCGGATACCGACGCTCTGGGACGGTGCGTCATCAGTGTGTCCCTGATCATCGTCTCCTGACGCGCTAGGGCATCCCGAATCATCATATATTGAGGCTTGGTCACACGCGTCATATTTTGATGCTTTGGGTGTGAGAATGTGTTGCTCCAGTGTACCCTGCAAAGATCCAGGGCTTTTCTAATGCCAGAACATGACCTAAACACTTAGCTGGTTCCTCTTGTTGAGGAGGAGCCGTGGCTCTACTCTTAGTCTCTCACGGATCTCTAAGGCTGATCAAAGGAAACAAATTTTGTTTTTATGTTATAAAACTTTATGACTGTTAATCTGGTAGAAATAAGAAACTTCCAGTTAGGAGTGCTACAGTTAGCCAGCACCACCATGAATTCCAGCTGCAGAAACCACAGATTTAAACAAAAATACCATGTGATGTGTTATTTATGGTTTATGAAATATGTGTTGAATTTTGTTGTTTTAATTAGTTCCCGGTCATTATCCTCTTTGGTTTCAGTCTGATATTCTCATTTATGTTCAAATCATAACAGTTAGCAAAGATTTACCCATAGCAGGCATAATAAACACCACTTCTAACTCATTAGCAGTAGAAAACACCCTCATGCTTGTGGAAAACATGCATACTCCATGTGGGATTGAAACCTGCAACCTCCTCATTGTGAGGCTCCAGAGCAAGTAACTAGTGTTCACTAATTAAAGCTAAACCTATTAGAAGTGTTTAATCAGGACAATATCCCATTAGGTTACATGGAGGAGGCGGGGTTTAAAACATATACTGCAGCCAGCCACTAGGGGTCCTTCTTCTTCCACGTGTCCTCCAGTATTAAACGGGTCCTGGCATTTCACTGAGCTCTGTTGGGGACTTTAATTTTAGAGACGTTTCCTTGAAATCTTTTAAAATAAGACACCTCTGCCTGTACAGGACTACAAATATAATTTCATAAAACCAACATGTTCCTAATAAAACAGCATCTTTGCCTTTGGTTGGGTAAGTGTGCTACGTTGGTAGTCTGAGCCCACCTGTGTGTAGCTTGTTGATCCAGAACTGGACCTTGGGTCCCTCCCAGATGCTGGGGATCCCCCCTCCTTCTGACTGCCCACAGAGGACGAGTCTGAGCAGCTACTGTTGACTGAAGGAGAAGCGGTTTGTGTGAAACTCCCTCTTGTACACACAAATATATTTATATCTGTTATTATTTTCTTTTTGCTCAAGGAAGTGGAGAAAAAAATTCTTCAGTTAGTCCTTGTGTTTCAGTTACGTGTCTCCAATTTTCTTCCACTGAGAAACACAAAGCAAGAGAGTGAGTTTTTTCCCCTCATCTTGTTCAGTCAGTTCCTAACACCAGTATCTGTCCCTGAGGATAATTCATGCCCTGAGATCTGTCCAACGAGACACCTGCTGAGCAGAATGTGCACTGCACCGGGGCATGAACAGGAATCCACTTTGGCTCTAGAGGCTTCAGAGGCTGAATGGAGGGTCTGGAATCTGAAGAATTGTTCTTCAGATGAGGTTTTTCATTCAAAAGGGTAAACCGTGGTGCTTACACTGTGTCCTTCAGTCTGCCTCTCATGATACCAAACATTTAAAAAGATAATCTGTCTGCTTTTGTATAATTTAAAACCAGTCTATTTAAGCCAGATGTTTATAACAGCTTTTCAGGATTGTTACTGAACCGACTGCTTTCTTTTTTGCTGCTAGAAAACCCAACAGGTGTTCTTTATAACATGTATGATAAATGACCCACACTTTTACAGTGCCTTTCAGAGTCAGAGGCCTATAAAGCCTTTTATCCATTCACACACTGATTGTGATACGTTGTGTAGCCACAGCTGACCTGGGGCACACTGACAGAGGTGATTAAAGAGTTAACAACAAACTGAGCCCAAAATAGATCAGACCAGGCTAGAAACAAGCTCTTAAACTGATTATGTATTAAAAAAATTTGTGTTCAGGACATGATGAGGCTTGCAAAAAGCCAAATTAACCCAAAATAAACAAACCTGAGTTTAGCCAAGCTAAGAGAAACAACTAAAGTTATTTAATCTAGCTGAGCAAAAGATATTTAAACTAGTTTAACACAACTATTCTGAACACAAATAGATTAAAATTGATTATAAATAAACACAGTATTGCTAAGCTAACAAACATAGCCTAAATTAAACTCAACTCAAGATAAAACTAAACTTAGTTAAGCTAAGATAAACATGCTAGCTGATCTCATTTAAGAAAAAAGTAACGAAACTAAAAAACAAACAAACAAGTATAGCAAGTATAAGCTATTTAAGCTAATTTCATGAAGCAATTCTGAAAACAAATGCGCTAACAAAATCAAGCTAATGCTAAGCTAAGCTAGCAAACACAGGACTGAATCAAATTTGACTTAAGTTAAAACTAGGTTCGGCCAAACTAAGTGTGGTTACCTAAGATTGACTTAAACAACTAAACAAAATAATTTAACCTAATCTCAACTCAACTGAAACCAAATCTAAATAAAAATCTAATCATTTCATCATTTATCTAGTTCTGACTAAACATTTAGTTTCTCCTAACTCATAACTAGATTTACCCTCAAGCACGCTTATAATGGAATTTATAGAATTAGGCTTGTTTTTGATTAATATTTATACTAAATAGTCAAAACCAAAAGAACAATCAAAAATTTGTAGAATGGTAGGATTGTGTAACGTTAGCAGGCCGTTGACCTGCTGACATTTCTGATCATTGCTGTAAATAACAGTAGATTGTGTCAACATGATGCAAATAAAACGTTGCATCATCACCATCTGGTTTGAAACAGGATTGAGAAATCAACTAAATGTGACAAAGCAGTTTAATCTGAGCAGGGCTGGATGAGTGTGGCAGCTTTCACAAGAGTTGAAAGCTGAAGCAAGCACCAAGTCTGCAATGGGATTTGATCCTTGCAGAAGAAAAATGTGTTTGCACCAAAGAGCTGTGATGTCTGCTCTGCGCGGGCATGTCAGCTCAGTAGGAGACACAGTAGCCCAAGGGTGATGCATAAACTAAACTAAACATTTACCACTTTATTACCTTGTCACAGGAGGAGATCCATAGTATATGTTCTGTTTCCTGTCTGTAATCTCAAGGCAGTGTCACTCTGAGCTCAGGAAGCAAAACTGAAACAATCCAACCTGGACTTCCTGAGGCCAAAGACTGAGGATAAACATGACTGATAAGTGAAGAATCTGAGTTTAGTCCTCATTATTCTCCTCGTGTGTGGGTACATGTTTGGTTTCAGGAGGAAATCCACCTGTGGAAGTGTTCTGTTTCAAGTGAGAGGAGGTCAACCTGGTTTGCATTCAAAGAGCGGATGGCATACAATAATGTTTTAGCCTGCATGTGCTTGCACTGATGAAATTGCTCAGAAACCACCACAAGATTTGAATAATCTTTGGAGTTTGCAAAATTCAAGATGGCCACCACAGGTCATTTAGGGGTAGAGCGGGTTGTCCAGTAATCAAAAGGTTGTAGGTTTGATCCTTCTGCCAGAGAATGCTACTGTTGTGTCCTTGGGCAAGACACTTAACCCGCCTTGGTGGTCGGAGGGACCGGTAGCGCCTGTGCTCAGCAGCCTTGCCTCTGTCAGCGTGCTCCAGGGCAGCTGTGGCTACATTGTAGCTCATCATCACCAGTGTGTGAATGTGTGTGTGAATGGGTTGATGACTGAGTGTTTTGTGAAGCACCTTGGGGGGTTGTAGAACCCTGAGAAGGTGCTATACAAATACTGACCATGTACCATAGTTGCACAGGATGCCATCCATGTATTTATTGCTCATGTGCCTCAGCATGTCTGGTTCCACTGTACTTCAGTCTATACCATTTTATTTTACACAAGATGCCTCCAGGATTGTCCCAAAATGACCATAAATTATTTGTATTCTAACAATAATTTGAGGCTTCTTCTGTAAAAAAAATAAAATAAAAAAAAAGCCATCTTCTTCAACACACAGTGTCACTGAACATTCCAAAGCACACGCCCAAGACAAGGTGGCCTCCAGTACAAATAGCTTTAATTCTGGTTAAAAGGAATCCTGACCTGATACTCTTAGAGGATTTTACCCGACTCCATCATTTCTAAATGCAGTGTGCTGTGACAGACCTGAAATTTGAAGTTATTATTAATTATCTCGTTTAGACACACACAGGTGGTGTTGGTGCATGCTGCGTGCTCACCTCTGTCGCTAAGGCTGCTGGTGGAGTCCAGCTCTGTAACTGGACTTCCTGAGGCGTCCAGCAGGAGTTTGCTGGATATTCCCATGCAGAGGGACTCCTTCAGACACAATTCTGAGAGGGACGGAGGCAACACTCAGGTTCTGTGATGCACCATGTGTGTACCAATCTGTTAATATTTTCATTTTTATCTAAAAAAACAGGCTCAATCAAAGTAAAATGCCTAATTGCCTCTACAACGGTCTCCCCCTGGTGGCCATATGGTAAAATACATGTTTTGCATTTCTTTCCTTGCTGTGTTACCCATAATGCAACAGTTGTTTTGTTTTCCAAAGAAAAGCTGGATTGATGCACCATCTGAGCTTTATGCAACATCTGTGAATGTTTAGACTGTTCATGAACTCTGAGCTGATCTGGATCCAGTGCCTTTGGGGGTTAAAGGTCGCAGTTTACCCGTGTTGTTAATGGCGTGTGTCCACAGCAGATGGGCGATGTCGTGGGCCCAGGCCTCCCTCTCTTTGCGGTCCTGAGCTTGCAGCGTGATGCAGTCTCTGGTTCGGGGAGCCTGTCGGACCCACACTTCAAACTTCACCCCCTCCTCCCCCACGCTCTGGGTCAGACCCATCTCACCAGTCTGCAGAGAGGCGATCCACACAGGTTTTATGTAAAGGTTAGCTTTCAGAGTAAAGTTTAATAAAACAATGGTTGCAGGAAAACAGAAATTCCAGGAGAGAGAAGCAGTTTAAAAAGTCATAAACTATAGATGATAACGTGCCTAGAGCAGTCATTTTTCACGTTACCCCTGCCCCAACATGTAAGACTTTATTCTACAGCCTTGTCTGGTATCCCAGTCCATACCTCCACATCTCCATATGCAGCATCACAAAGGAAAAAGGAAAATATCCAAGATGGAGGAAAAAAGATGGATTTATCTGTGTTTCAACTTCATTAACTAAACATTGTTTGTAGTTAATGTAGGTTAGAGAGCTGAGGTTAAGCACTCAGGCTGCTACCTTTACAGAGATGTCATGTTTCTGCATCTACTCTAAAGGCTTCAAGAACAGCAGCTAATTAAATTTAGGTGTGAATCTTATTTTCAAGGGTTTAAACCAGGTGTGCTGGAGAAGGAAACTGCTGATTTGCAGGATGGAAACTCCTGTTCTAGATTAACTCAGTAGAACGTAACCCTCCCACTGTCCTAATGGGTGTGACCCCGTGAGGAAAGTTGATCAGTGACCAGGGTTGATGGTAGTGGTCTGCAAATGGCGGCCCGCGGGCCACATTCGGCCCGCGAGCCCTCTCTTTGTGGCCCCCAAACCCCGCGCGCACCCCCCACCCCCACTCCCGACGGCCGACCAGGAGGTGTAGGATAGAGCTGAGGAAAATAATCAAATAATCAACGCATGAGATGCGGGCATAAACGATTCTACATCATAGAAGAGTACCATAATCAATAATAGTGGAATGTAGTTTTGTTATTTTAACGGCGGCACCAGCGCAGCATCCAAATCTGTCAGAGCGGTGTTCTCCACATTTACTGGGTAGGAAACTTTGATCTGCCTTCATGTGGTACTGCAGGGCTGAGCATTGGAGTTATAACCTGAGACCGAACCCGAGTCGAATCAGCCAGACTGGTTCTGTTGGATTTGGGCCGTAAATTATGTCAATTGAGCGGGTTGTCTCGCGGCGCGCTCCGCTCGCTCGATCAGCGACTGAGAGAGAGAGATAGAGAAAGAGGGAGATTGTCTGCTCAACCAAGAGAGAGGATCGGAGGACGCTCCCCCAAACACACGTATTATTTTCATAATTTCATTATTGTTTCTCCTGGAAGCGCTCAGTCAGAACAAGTGCTGTGATGTCGGGAGATCCGGTCTTGGGGAGAGAGCGGGGTCAGTGACGGCGGCTGCAGCGTAATCATCTGTCTCTTTTATTTAGGGACACGGAGAAGTTAAAAGGAGAGAGAAATAGAAGATAAATTTTGTTCCACTTTATTCTTTTGTTTCATGATGATAAACTGATGTTAAATTAAACTTAAAGAGAATCGGGGAGGAAGCTTTGGTTCATTTTAAGTTACAGGAGGTCTTGTTTCCTATATGCTCCTCCAGAGACAGCATGGACATGAGGGTTACATGGTGAGGGTCACACAGGACAAGTTAGTGCAGTCACACAGCCGAGCTGGAGGGGGGAAGGTGTTGTCCTGCTTTATATTGCAAGCGTGAGTGTTATGTGCATTACAGCCAGCAATCCAAACAGCAGTAGCCCCCCACCCCCCCACCCCCCCCCACCCCACCCCCCCACCCCCCCGGCCCTCTTGCTTCAGTCTTTTTTGTGTGTGGCCCTTGGACCATTATAGTTGAGGACACCTTATGCCTTGGGTCCATGTGGCAGGGGTGAGGAGTGAGCACCACCTCACCCCTGCCATGTGGACCTCAAGGGATATACCACCAACCCTGCTCAATGGTCAACTTTCCTCGTGGGACCGCACCCATTAGGACAGTGGGAGGGTTAAAAACCTGGATGACGGCAGTAATGAACCTTGGTCTATGCTAGCCTCAGGGCTAGCCGTTAGCTCCTCAGACCTAAAGGACTCTGACCCAGAAAGCTGCAGAGAAGATCTGATTGTTTATGAACCCTTTAGGTGTCAGCCGCACCTTGATGCTGTGTTTGTAGCTAAAGGTGGTGCGTCCCGGGCCTGGACTCTTCTGCTTGGTGAAGATGATGAAGTGCTCGTAGAGGAAGACGTTCCTGATGCCCGCTCGTTTCCTGCGAGGTCCTCCACACACTGTGAGCTCGCCCTGCCGCACCAGCTCACCTCGCTCCACCGCCGGGATCTGAGAACACAAACATCACATTATCCAGTCTGAGGATTTGGTGAATGCCTCAGGTTGCGTGTGACAGGTCCAAGCAGAAATACAAAAGCATCTAAGTCCTACTTCTTATGCTGCAGTGCCCTGATTGGGTCGTTGACATATTTACTAATTATCTAATGTGTTTTTGTGTTCTCAACTGGTTCTTCAGCTTCTGAACTCCAGTTTGGAGTTGTAAAGACTTCATGCATAAACTGTCTTGTTCACAACACAATAACAGAAAGCATGATTACTATTATTGTTGTTCCACTGCCTTCCATGGTAGCGTGCTCTGTCTTCACATAGATTCTCCTTAGTGTTGGATCTGGGCTCTAATTGGCCAGCTGAGTCACGTCTTTGACAAAGATGTGACTTTATTGTTCTTATCAATTACAGAGCTGAGACGTTCTGATGCAGCTGGGACTCCTAACAAAAGCAGACAGACGCTCAAAAGTTCCATCGTTGTCTCTCAGGACTCAAAGCCAGAGCCAGAAAGGCAAAAACAAGCAGAGAACAGCAACGAGAGCGAAGTCTGAACTCTCAGAGACACAGAGCTTTATTTTAAAACCCCTCGATGATAGGAGAGAGGCTTCACGTAGATTACAAACGCCTACGTCCACGCCCACTCACAGGCACGCTCACCTGCACTTACGCTCCTTTTTAAGTTGGAGAGCCACTGTAGCGAGGGTTGAAGTAGAAGTGTGTGTGTGTGTGTGTGTGTGTGTGTGTGTGTGTGTGTGTGTGTGTCCAACATTTGTCACGACTACCTCTGAGTAATACGGTGGTGTCAGAGTAACATCATGTAGGTCAAGAGATGTTGATGTTTTATTTTTTTTATTTCAACAAGGCTAATTTTATTTCTCACTGCTGTTGAGATGGAGTTGTGTAAAGAAAACAGAAGTGATGAAAATGGTAAAATATTTAAACACCAGGAATATTACACTGCATTTTTCCATCACTCACACCGACCCAGCATCACTGAAAGGTGGGACTTTGACCGATGCAGATTCATAAACCAGGACAGGCGCTCTCACCGGACACCCGACGATGAGGTCACTGGCCCTGAGGTCCTCGCCGTGCCGCTGGGCGTGTCTCAGGATGGAGAGGGCGGAGTCTGAGGAGGGGTTTAAGCCGCCCAGCTCTATGAGGGCCTCACAGTACTGCTCCAGCCTCTGAATGGGAGCCTGAAGGCACTGAGGGAAGGATAGAGGGGAGAGGGGGGAGGCCTGGGGGAGTTTGGACTTTAAAGGGGGGGGGGGGGGGGGGGTGTACAGAAGGAGGTAAAGTTAATACCAGATCCAAATCTGATGGTACTACTGTTGTGTATGGATAGATGACAAAGTAACTCAGGTTCTAAGAATTCAGTGCACAACATGGTGTCTCACTTACCTTGCTCTATAGAACTACATTGGGAAATAACATTGTAGATTTTCAAAATAAAACACTTTGCAGATAGGACCATCATGTAGCAGAAGATCCACAGACGACTGCCTGGTTAGAGACCCCTGCTTAAATATTAGCAAGTTCAATTCTTTCTAATTCAAAAATACTTTACTAATCCCAAACCGGCACAATCCTGCTTCTCCTAAAATCCGCAATCACCTCGCCTTTTAGCTCACATTGAAGATGAGATGATAGTTCTCTTACACCATTCCACAAAGTCATCCACCAGGTCTCTGGCTCTTGTCCATCCCAGTAAGACCCAACATCTGCAGAGTCATCTGAATATTTCTGCAGATGACAGGTCTCTGACTTGTACTGAAATTGTAGTGGGTGGAGTAAAAGGGAAAGGTGAGAGTACAGGACCCTGTGGTGTTCCTGTGTTAATGAGTCTGTTTGGGGCAGGAGAGGAGGATGCTGAAGTGTGTCCAGTAAAGAACCCAATGAACATGAACCTGAAGACGTTCTTCTATCTTGATCAAACATGTCTGACATTGTTCTGATGGAGCTTGGTCACAAGTTGCTTTTCCTGCTCTATATTTTCTGTTCTCATCCAAAAATCGACCAAACCACAAAAAAAAAAATCATCTCAAACTGCAGCTCCTGATTTCAACCATCATCTCTTACATCATCACCACCATCAGTCATTATACATCCATCAGCCATAATCTCTGCAGCTGTGATCTGCGATGTGGTGAAGCAACATGAGCCCACGCTGCCTCCTGGTGGTCATCTGCTGGAACTTCTCCTTCCTTATTACCCCGCAGTGAGAGCCTGAAGATCTTAAGCTCTTTGATCTCTGCATGTAGAGTCTTGGTAGTAATCTCATCGTGCGGTTGATGGATTAGTTGTAGTTAATTGTAGCTTGGGAGCTCTCTATAATCTGGTTTTAATTGGCTTTTCTGGTTGTATATTAAACATGTAATTAGCTTGACTGTATACAGCTCGTTTTTAATTTGCTGCCACTTAAAAATAAAGCTACTGTAATTGGCGTGTGCTTGTGATCTGCTCAGTTAAAGTACTGATACTACGGCATCGTGATTGAACAGATTTCTGAAGAGAATAAATACAAAAGGCTTGTGAGTACGTGTTGGGCAGAAACACACTTTAAACCTGAGATGTGTGTGGGAACGTGTGTGTTTTATATGTTCTGTGGTTCCTACCTTAAAAAAGTCAGCAGCCTCTGTGACCAAAGGGGAATCCAGGTCTGGTTTTAACCTGATGTACTGGGAATACTGGAGAAACTGCTCTCGCTGTGGGCCAAGGAGAAAACAAAAGTACAGTAAGACTATAACAGGACTGTCTTTGTCACAAAACAGAAGGTGAGAATGTTGCTAATAAATACAAAGAAAACACATTTTCTAGCATCATCTATAGAGTTTACTCACACATCCTAAAGTAAAAGCTTTGGCCATAGAAAATATGCATGAATACTGTTAATATGTATTCTAGGATGATCGAACAAATAAATCTTATTTTTTGTCTTGAACAACATTTCTGTCTTTTCTTGAATCAGTCATTCTTTTAAAACCACTAATGTCTTTTACACCACAAGACTCAACCTAGCTAGTGTGTGATAGGGCTAACATCCTGCTAGCTAGTGCATGGTGGGATTAACATCCTTTCAGTTTGTAGCTATAATGATAAAAATAATGACCCACACTTGTACAGCGCCTCTCAGAGTCAGGACTCCAAAGCTCTTTACACTACAGTGCATCATTCACCCATTCACACACATTCACACACTGATGGTGATGAGCTACGATGTAGCCACAGCTGCCCTGGGGCACACTGACAGAGGCGAGGCTGCCGAGCACAGGAGCCACCGGTCCCTCCGACCACCACCAGCAGGCAAGGCGGGTTAAGTGTCTTGCCCAAGGACACAACAGCAGAATTTTCTGTCCGGAGCCGGGATCAAACCTGCAACCTTCCGATTACTGGACAACCCGCTCAACCTGTTGAGCTACTGCTGCCCCAAGAACCACCAGCTATTGCTACTATGTGCAAGTTCAGGTGCTGCATCCTTGCAGCGCCACATTAGAAGGCTGATTTAGTGACTGCAATAACATCAAGTTTGTATGGAACCCCCCCCCCCCCCCCACACACACACACACACACACACACCAGGATGTACACTGAGGTGAGGGAGGGAACAAACATGAAGGTGCTAACATCATCACTGTTTACTTCCATTCTTCTTGGTCGACGAACAACCCGACCTACATAGACCAGGTAAGGCTGTCCTTTGAAGGATGCAGCCCCAGAACTTGTACACGATCTTTATTTGCTACATAGTACTAGCTTTCCATAGGGTCTGTGTGTAATTCTGTTTAATGCTCCGGTATCAAAATTCCATCTACTACCAGAGTACCAGAGTTTAAAACCATGGGCTGCTCTGCGGTACGTTCACCACGTTCTTTCTCTAAAAATTTGCCCAAATCTTGTTTTTACCCACTGACCAAACCCAGTGTGTATTTTATAGTGCAGGAACAAATATCTCCATGCACTCCTTTTGTCCAGTGTAAATTATATAAACAAAATACATCTATTAAAGGTTCCAGTACAACGGCTACACCAGCAGGTGGGGCCCAGGTAGAACTCTAGTGGACTTTTAGAAGCTTACATATTTGCTGAAGCAGTCCTGTTGCAACAAGCTGTGAACGAGAGCTCCTTCCATCGCTGGCAGCAGATTCTGTGAATGAAAGTTAGTGAGGCTGGTCCAGTTGGGGAAGACCGAGTCTTCCTTCCCCCTGATGGAGGCCGGGGAGTCGGAGAGCTCCAGCAAGGGCAGGTATGTTTCCTCCACCCCCTTCAGGACTGCTACATACTGCCTCTCTGAGCTCAGCATCCGGCACCAGAGCAGGTACAGCTTGCTGCAGGACAAATGGACAGCAGATTAAAAACAAGAGAGTGTAAAAAGCAGAGAGTACATCAATGAAAAAGAAACACACCTCTGTGCAGATGAACCAGTCCTGTCTGTCCCAGTTTCCCTCTCAGTCCGGCCCAGAAGGACATGTTGCCGTGGCGACCCTGTGTGGTCCACCACCTCCTTACTGCTGACCTCCACCCCACGGATCAACACCCCTCCTCCTCCGCTGCTCCATCCTGGGATTGCTGCAGCCATGCTGGTGGTGATGATGGGGTCGGCTAGGGTCTTCCGCCCCAGCCAGGACAACGGGGAGCTACGACTCGCCCCGCCAATGGGAGACTCTGGTTTGGGGGTCGCGGTGCCTCTGCGGGGAGCCAGAAGAGCCTGGAGGTCAAAACTTGGATGGCGCTTCCTTGGTGGCTTTGGAGGGAGCGGGGCCTCTGTAGGCTGGGGAAACCAAACATGAGTCAGGGTGAATGTTGCACACAATGTAAACGTTTGAGTAGAGACTTACACTCTTCTTTGTTGGATTCAGAAGGTTCTGCAGGAACTTCCCTCCTCCAGCTCCTCCTGCCCCATTTCCTCCGCATCCACCTTCTTTCTTATTCCCTTTCTCATCTCCTATCTTCAGTGTGGAGCAGGTTTGTGGTCTGAACAGTGATGCTAGGGACCCCCACGACTGCAAACCCCCATCCCCTCCTCCAGCACCCAAGCCCCAGTCGCCCTCTCCTTCAGGCCCCATCAGGTCCCAGAAGTTACTGCCAGATGGTGTTTTGGCCTTCCCTTGGCCTTGATTCTGGTTCCGGTCCAACTGGAGGAACCGTGGTTTGACCTGAGCTACGGTCTGCTGGTAGCGCTCTACCGTATGAGTCCAGAGATCAAGGAGCGCCCCGCCGCCAAGCTCCATGGCTAAGGACCGTGCGTCCTGGAAACGTGATGGAGGAATTGGAGGGAGGGATGCAAGAGGACAAGTAGAAGTGGGGGGTGAGGGTGGGGAAGGGGTAGAGGAAACTGCATCACACCACTGGGTTGCCTGGCAGGAGATAGAACAGAAAAGATTTCAATCCATAAATCTGCTTTTCGTACCTTCCTGCTACTTCCTGCCTTCCGTTACCTCTGTCAGTGTGGACAGCAGCCTCTGGGTGTTGTCCAGAGTGGTCCAGCAGTCAGACAGACAGTGAGACATGTCTCTCAGCTTCTCCCTCACAGGTGGAAGTCGGATCTGGACATCACTCAGGCCTTGCCAGTTCAGCTCACACCATCCCTCTAGATCACTGAGCACTGCCAGGGTCTCGCTGTGGAGGTCCTGATGGATCCATGAAAAACAGCTAATGAAAGCTAAACGTCGCTAAAGAAAACCTTCATGTTTTCTGCTAAAAGTCACAAAATACATGACGACCGAGTCTAGCTATTATGCCTTTACAGCAAAAGCTACATAATCAGGTGCATGAACCTGCTCAGGAAACGCATTTATGCTAACCAGACATGATCTTTATTGTGAAACGGGAAATGCGGAGGGTTGCGTCGCTCACATTGGCGGTTTCTCTGAACGTCCTGAACTTCTGTTGTTTAAGCGAGAGTCTGCTGAGAGATAGGGGAGGGTCCTTGTAGTCGTCCAGCTGTGACTGGACCTGTTCGATCTCCTTATCACACTGTGGATGAGAGAACCACAGCCAGAAGGCCCTTGCTGTTAGAACACTATTGGCTCATCGCACTGAGACAAAGATGTGAGAGGAAGTAAAGAAACAAGCTGTGAGAAGAAGTCAGTCTGGAGTCCATCTTGACTATTTTGGAAACAGAAAAAATGAAGTGCTAATGTTTAGCTACAGAATCATGAAAGCTGCATTCTTCTACAGGTGTGTGTGTGAGCAGAGCTCAAGTTCTACTTAAACTAGAGCAACATTCAGTAGAGCTCTACATCCATCTGGAAGACCGAGAAAGACCTTTTCTAGTTTGTCCACCAGCACAGCCAGTCGTCCCAGCGCCTCCAGGTCACGACCTCTCTGGTTGGAGACCTGGACGAGCTTGTGAAGAGCATCGTCCACGCTGTCGTAGAGCTTAGAGGTTGCAGCGAGCGCAGCCCTGTGTGAGACAAAGACAAAAATCTAATGGTAGCATCATCGTCTGTCTGGGTCGTCAGGGTCCTAAAGACCAAGTTCACTCATTTTTTCAGTACATCAGCAGTGGTCTGGAAAAAAAGCTCTGGCGCTCCTGAAAATCAGAGTAAACAAGTAAAAACGGTTTCTTGTCCATTAAATCATATTTAAGCTGTGTGAGAGGATAAAGATTCTTCCAGTTTAGCAGTGGAGGTCATATGTCTCTGTGTCTAGTTGGTGGTCAGAGGGTGTCGTTCTGGTCTGTCATGGTGGATTAGGAGCTGGGGCAAAGGTCAATATAATGGTCTGTCTGCATCCCAACCATCATGTATGGTCACGAGAGCTGGTTAAAGATCCTGAATACAAGCAGCCAAAATATGCATCCTCCATTATCGGATCACTGTGTCACACCCTGTCCTGACTCCCCTTTCTGTTCAGTCCTGTGTCCATGTTAATTGCTCCCACCTGCCTCTCGTTTTCCAATCACCCAAGCTCCCAGCCCTCTTGTATTTAAACCCCTTCAGTTCTGTGTCTCTGGTTGGATCATTGTTTCAGTAGTCCAGCGTGTTCTGTTATTAAAACCTTTTTGTTAAACCGTTCCTGCATGTCTGCCTGCCTGCCTTTGCTTCACTCACCAGCACACTTGTGACACACTGCCGATACTCCCCTCACAGAACTGGAATGCCCCCTGGAGGGATTATGAACTCTCCCTGACCAGGGAATCCTTTGGGATCCCCCAAAAGGATCTGGAGAATATGAGTAAGGAGAGGGAAATTGAGGTTTTGCTCTTGTAGCTCTATGTTAAAGGTGCAACTTTAAATAACAGAACAAGGTGGAATGATGGTGTTTGTGTCTGATGAAACCAAATGTGTTTTGTGTAGTTGAGAGGATCTGAAACATAAATCCCCCTAATAGGAAAGCTTTTAAGCCCTCGGGTCTAAACTGATTATGTCAGTATTTCCTGCTCATCTAACTGCTCAGTACACTGTAACATTTGAGCTCATTATGACAGTTTAGTTGAAAAAGTCTACTTATTTTTCAGTCTAATGTCTATCCCAGCTGTAAACCGACTCATTTATGAGAGAATGTAGCTGATGATGCATTTGTTCAGCCATCTAGGGGACAGGAGGGATGCTTTTTAGCTCGTCTGGAGCTGGTTCAAACGGTGCTTAGATTTATACTGCATGCAGGAGTTTAACTGTGTGTGACATATTCCTCTGTGGTCCTATTTCTGAGTCTTTAGACAGGGGACCTTTTTGTGTCCACATTGAGGAAGAAAACAGGAAAACCAATCAAAAGAACAGAAAACCACAAAAGAAGAAAAAAAGACGTTCTGCAGCTTGACTAAGACTGGGTACTTCCCTTCTAATCTTTTATGAGAGAAGATAGCTCACACTGCTAAGAACCACTTTGAATAAAAGCTCTCTCTCTGTGTGTGTGTGTGTGTGTGTGTGTGTGTGTGTGTGTGTGTGTGTGTGTGTGTGTGTGTGTGTTGTATGGGTAGGGACCACTAAGCAGCTCTTAGCATGTAAGAGGACACATCATAAGCACCATTGGCAACACCAACAAACAGAACATTGCTCTCCAGTCTAAGCTGCTGTCTATGCTTTAAATTTACGTTTCATTGGAAGCCTAACCTATCTATGTGCTACCATAGAAAAAACTAGCGTTATCATAACATCTGCTGAATCTGAGAAGGGTATGGTACATACTTCCTAGACCACTACACTTAGAGAATCTGTGGGCGTGGCTTATTTATGTTAAAGCATTTTTGTTGCTGCTGTTACTGTGATTCATTCATTCTTTCATTCATTCATTCATTCATCCATTTCAAAAAGTGCTTCAGCTCACTGGTCTGAAGCGTACACCTACATGTTAATGTAGCCATCAGTACTTGATTTCTACTCACAATCGTTTGTTTTTGAGCACAGAAACCTCGTGGTATAGAAACAATCTAGTTCCCTAACGTGCTATGATTATGTTCCCCATCGGAAGGCTTCAAAGTAAGAGGTCCAACAAGAATTGTCTGTAGTTTCTGGTACCTGCAGTCTAGTGATTTCTGCGCCAGTGCAGAGGAACAATTTGTCAGTCCAGCAAGACAAGCCCCGCCCCTCTGCTGAAGTTCAGTTAGGCGTTGGTCCACCAGGACACTCGTCATGAGCTGCCTGTGTTTGTCGAGGCTCTGGGGAACATCCTTAAAAGATGAAGAAATGTACTGAGTACACATTCAAGGGCTTCAAAGTGACATAGCGAGTAAGATGTTCTGATAGCATTTGATGGAAGATGACCTTAATGTTGTCTGGCATGGGCTCTGTCTCTATCGCCTGCAGTGCTTCTCCAAGCAGCGAGAGGGCGCTCTCGCAGCGCTCTGTCAGTCCCTCCAGCCTCTGATGGGGAAAAAATGTCAGCTTGACTATTTTTTCATTTTGTGTTTTTAATCAAGATCATTCTCTTTGACATATCAGGGTAAAGCCAATGTGTAATCAATGCAGGGCTGTATGTTGGTGCAGTTGGTAGCACTGTTGCCTTGCTGTGAGAAGGTTGCAGGTTTGAATCCTGATTGCCTCCATTCTGCATGGAGTTATCATGTTCTCTCCATGTATGCATGGGTTTTCTATGGGTATCCTGGATTTTCTCCCACTGACCTACAAAATGCATATCTGACTGTGGTCCCTAAATGTTCTCTGAGTGATCCAAATCAGATATGATCTAATCAGTTCATTAAATACATCACTTTATCTTAGCCCCTTGACCTCTCCCATAAAACCACATCTGGCCTAAAAGCATCTAGATGGTGTGTTACTATAAGTGCCTTCATCAAAATTTGCCATTCCCAGTCCTATGCATGTCTAATGTTCTCTAGTTAAGCATCTACAGGTGGTGAGAGCCTATTTTATTATACTACACTATACTACACTATACTATACTATACTATACTATACTATACTATACTATACTGTACTGTACTCTTATATTATTGAATTAAACAATACAATTGAAATGCTTTTTAAACTTTTTACTAAGATTATTACTCACATATAAATGAATAAATAACATAAAAATTTCATAAAACATTTAAAACATTTATTATTATTATTACTGGGTTGATTTTTTTATGACCAAATGCACACTCTATTGTAAAAAAAAACTATAAAAAAGATGCTAAAAGCAGATGAAACACAAATTGATCAGGAAAAAAATATGTGATTTTACCAGTCTGAAGGCCAACCAGTCTGCATGACAGTGACTGAAGTCTCCATTCAGCTCTTGGGGCAACTGTTGTTTGTCGATATATTGCTGAAGGACGACTGTACCCTGCACGATGTGAGTCTGAGAAAAGGAAGGAAAATTCAACACAACAATACCTACAGTAAACAAACAACACAACAGTGCATTTTGATGTTATGTACATAAAATTATTAGCATACGATGTTAGTGAGATCACCTTGTCTCTTTCCAGAGTAAATAACTCCTGCTGCTCCTCTACCAGGACTAGGACAGATCCAAGACCACCAGGCACTAACACCTGGAACACAAACACATATGTGTTTGCGCTACTAGCACGTCTGGAGAGTAATTAAAGCCTACAAACCAATATTTGGCACATTTGTATTCACAACGATTTATCTCCCTCCCTTGACTCACCTGGAACAGTTTAAGTGCAGAGAGGCACAGAGCAGATGGTTGGGAGCGTCTGCTGTCAATTACCACTGTCAGACCTTTTTCTTTGGCTTCAGGCCTTATGGGAACAAAAGCAAAGTTAATACTCAAATCAATAATTGACTTCCTTTCATTATATTTTCTTTCTAAAAGTATTGCATCACCTAGTTGCTCAGACCATGTAGGCACCTCTAACCAGGAGTGTGATAGTTTAACTAGTGTATGGTCAGTATATCTTCATTGCAAAAACAGGAAGCTACCCAAAGTGACCTACATTTTTGCAGCTCATTAAAGTTCCTGACTTTTATACATCTGCATTTCAAAATGAAAGCACGCTGACAGGTCCACCTCCATAAGGCATGAAAGACGTACAGTAAGGGTTAGGGCTTGACAACATAATGTGGCAAGGTGGATAAATGAGGGCCTGGGCGGGATTCGATCCCCAGACTCCCGGGTGAGTGTCATACGCTCTAACCAGTCAGCCAAAGGGACATCCCCTTGGCCAAGTAGCCAGGGCGCATGATCAATCGGGACATTGTGACAGGACGCTCACACTGTCACATCTTCCCCCCTCTTTCCACAAGCACGTCCTCGTGCTCCCGCGCAGGGTGCCACAAACTTCACATCCATGGACCTACTTAACATGGATCCTGCCAACAACACCAAATGTGGCAAGGTGGAGAAACGAGGGCCCGGGCGGGATTCGATCCCCAGACTCTAACCAGTCAGCCAAAGGGACATCCCCTTGGCCAAGTAGCCAGGGCGCATGATCAATCGGGACACTGTGACAGGACGCTCACACTGTCACAATAGTAAATGCTTAAAGTGCAAAGGCCTGACTGCAACTTAGATTATTATTTTTAGTGCATGGGAAAACAAAAATGGAGTGACTCATTTTGATTTCCTGATAGGGAGTGGAAAGTGGAAGGACCTAAAGGCTTACCGAGTGATTCTGTGGAAGCAGGCCAGAACGTGGGCTGTCTTCTCTGCACAGAAACTATCCTCTGTTATATTTGCATGTATGAACACCAGAGCTCGCCCCAGCCTGTCCACTGTACCTACGGTTATGAATCATAGAGTTATTAATAAATGGAAAGACAGACAATATTTCAGTGTAGCAAGACTGTGACCAATTGTCTATACTAGGAGCTTGATTCTATTTACCTGAGACAATGTAAATGCTGAAAAAAAAAGTACCAAGAAGTTTGAGATTGGGTTCACTGCATGGTGACATGGCAAAGACAACACATCACTCATAAACCAGTTTCACAAAGAACATTCCTTGGTCAAATGAGAAATGTTGCAAAACCTCTCCCGATCGAACATATCTTTTGAGTAAAGAAACATGGCAGATGAGGAGTAGTATTTGGATTCCTCTTGCTGTAGTCCACGTACTTTCTGGTTGACTGCACATCACATTTAAATGGCAGAAAGCTCATTTGTCCTCAGAGCACATCACACACTGCCATTTGTAACTGGAACAGTCCCTTACATGCTTCAGAGCACTCTTAACACTCCACACATGACAGGAATATCTGATAAGATTATCTTTGGAGCCCTTCGGGGCATCCTTAAGACTGTTGGAAGGAAAAATTGGGTAAAACTTTGGCATAATTATCTTGCCTTGTGAACCAGGTCCAACACTAACACTGTGTCCCCTGTCATGTACCTCATGGCTCTCTTGAGTAGGTAGGAGACAACTTACCTGTTAACTGTAGTTTCCCCGACTGAAGTAGGTCAGCATCCAGGTCCCTGAGAAGAGGAGGCTCTTCATAGATAACACCGTTTTGTTGGTCAGAACATGTGACCGATGACCCAACCTCCTCTGTAGAGTGGTTTAAGAAAGATGTGCCAGACTGGCTACTGCATCCAGGCAATGGTTCAACTTCTGTCTTTGCTGACAAAGGGGAAAAAGCAAACACTTAAGATGACGAGGGACGGTTCATAACATTTACACAACAATGTATTCATGTCTTCGGACCTGTACTGCATTTCCTTGTGTTTTCTTTCTCTTTGCTCTTTGTTGTGGGCTCTCCATCTGGTTCATCAGCCTTTTTCATTGGTTCAGACTGGCTTTCCTTGGTGAACCGTAACTCTGTACATGCAGAGTTATTGGCAGGATTTGGCTGAGGAGTTTTACCCTGTAGTTTAACTCCCTTCTGGTTTGTACGGCCGCCAGACTTCACCCTCCCTTTGGCCCCCTTTCCCTTCCTTTTCCTCCTAAAAACAAAACACAGGCAGATCTTACCAAGGTACAATGGACAGTTTTTGCAGTGCAGCAATCTGTGCAGAGTTTCAACTGTTCTTTAACATGCAATAAAGTGCTAAATTACAACAAACAAGATAAAATAGTAAATTTTATTGAACAATCTCTACCGTGGTGCTCTGAATCCAGCTGTTTTAACTTCTTTCCCCCTGGGGCACACTCTTTCTTCATTCTTTCCTTTGTCCTTTTCATCTGTAACTGTTAACTCACATGACATCTTCATTTTAGACTCACTGCTTGGAGAATTGTCACTTTGTGAAACTCCAGTAAAGAGTCTCTCTGGTGAGTTCAATGTTGGGGTGACAGCATCGCTGTCTCCACTCAGTGGTTTGTCTGTATCCTCAAAAACAGAATCGGATTGTGATCCATGATCTGATAGGCCCTCTACAACATGCTCAGCCTTGTGGCAGAATTCATAGATTTCATTTGCAGCTAAGCTGTCACTGCTCTGGGAGTCTTTACCTCTGTGATCGTCTCGAGGCGACTGTGTGAAACCGTTGCTGTCTCTTTCTCTACCCACACCTGGCCGTCGTTCTTTAACTGGGCCATCAAAACAAAGATTGGGGGTTTCTAGTCCTTCCGAACTTCTGCTTATTTTCCCTCTTTCATCAGAGTCATGAATCGAGGAAGGGTAAGCCCGTCTTTCTCTGCCAGATTCTGCAGCAGCTGCTGAAGGCTTTGGTGGTAACACACCATGCTTCTGGGTCACCACTTCTCCTTTGAAGCTATGCATACCACGGAAGCTTCCTGACCTCTCTGCTTTCCCGGAACTCCAAACTTTTCCTTTGCGTAATTTGATGGCTTTGCCTCTCTTACATAAAGGTAAGGTCTTTGTTTTGCAAATCCCATGCATCTCCAGGTACCTCTGCCTTGAGTCAACTCCCCCATCAGGACCCCCTCTGGGTTCCAAAAGCTCAACGTAATCCCCATCAAGATGAGCCTGCCGTGCAGTCCGCCCTAGCCCATCTTCACTGCGCCTTCGTCGGAGCATGGGGTCAGAGTCCACGCCATCTGGTGGAAAACCGTCATCCTCTTCCTCATCCCAGGACCAGGAGTCCAGCTCAACAGAGGAAGAGCCACCCCAACCTCCTAGGCTGCTGCTGCCCTCACTAGGAAGGCGGCTGGATATCAAACCATCAGCGTTGGCCATCAAGCCAATCTCCTCAGATGGGTCATGGATGAATTTTGGGTAGACAACCTCCTTCCATGGTAGACGTACTACACCATCACATGTGCTGACCAGGCAGGTGTCGAGTCCTCCTCCAACTGTGCAAAGACGTAATGTAAATGAGTGAACACCAATAATAAATGGTTGTCCTTTTAACATTTAGGATCAATGCAAGAACACCTTTAAATTCTAGAGTTTGACCAAGCAGTAAACAAAAACAAAAACAAATGAACTTAAAAGTGCAACCTCTGATAAACAGCTACATGACATAGTATTTTATGTGGACATTCAGAACAAATGCTGCTTTTGTCGGAGTTTGAGAGCAGATACATGTGTGTCTGATGTCAGTAATTTAAAAAAGCTTTTCCCTGCAAACCTTCTCGCTTGTGGCCTCGTTCTTTGTTGACACTGTGCAGCCACTCGGAGGTGAACACTAGAGGGTGTTGCGACTCAGGCACCAGTATTTCTTGAACGGTGCGACCCCCAGGTGCCAGACACTTTAGTGCCAGTCTGGGGCATCGTGTAGAGAAGGGCACCACCTGCAGGTAGAAGTCATTACAGCGCAGAAGTCTCCAGTCCAAGGTGGAGAGCTGGACTACCACTTTTTCACCCAAACAGAGAGGCCAGCCGGAGTGGAGGAACAGGCAACCCAGATACTGAGACTGATCAAGAAAATAAATGCATTAGAGCTTTGAACAAAAGACATTCATCAACATTCAACATGTTACCCTTTGAGCCTCTCTAGGTTGATAACATTTCCTGAAATCCAACTTTTAAGGTCGTGTCTTGTCTCATACATTCTCTGACATGAACAAACTGTCTCTCGCGTAGGAGCTTTCCCGCTCGTCTGACACCGGAGTCGAGAACCTGCACCACACTAGTCAGCACTTTTTATTCTTTTGTCCAACTGACGCTGAAGCCAGCGCCACATACAAAAATCAGACACGTGACCCAAACAGTGTTTTCCACATGGTACAACCACTTCAACTGACTAACTCTGGAGAGCAGTGAGTCAGACAGCAAGCCGCACATGACCAGGTCCCCTCAACAGCCAGCTGCTGCTAAAATAACACTCTGTCTCACCAGAGGAAAACAGTCTCTAGCTCTATAAGAAAACACTCATTTAAGCCAACAGCACTGCCAGTTCCGCAAAAACATTCATAGAAGAGCTCTAAGGATGAAAATCTCAGCTTGTATCTTAGGCTCCATTATTCATCTGATTTATTAAGGTAAGGCTTTTTAATCCAAGCAGCATTCCTGCTCTCACAAATGCTGTAAGATCTAAATCCCCCATCTTAAAGTCCGAAGACGATCAAACCTACCTCTGCTCTCCCCAGTCACATCTACAGTACTGACCTACGGCTGCTCCCGCCCTCCTCCACACCCTCCAAACACATTAGACGTGATCAAATTCAATTTCTGGCTCAACGTCTTTTATATCATCCCTTTTCCGCCTCTTTGTACGTTATTCAACTTCTTCCCCTTTTCCTTCAGCCTCTTTTGTGTCTCCGCTGCAGTCAAGTGAACATTTGATAGCTTTTATGTTGGATGTTAGCATATAAATGTTTTTTAGTTTCGGTCCACTTTCTAAAACTCTTTGGGGGTTTTAGTTCGGCCCTTTTTCCTTTTTCCCGCTTCACAAAAATTCCACAACCAGTCCCCAGTCTGTAACCTGAAGCATCTTCTCTTTTTTCTTTTTCTTTTTTTTTTTTTGGACATTCACACGAGCACACCAGCCACTGTGAATCAAGGCCATGTTCATTCTCTCCGTATGCCCCTCCAAACTCTCACTCTCTCTCCCCAGCAGTAACACAATCACGTATGGAAGGAATTATTGACATGACTCAAAGTCCCAGGCAACTCCACTCAGCAACAGAAAAAACACAACTTGTTGTGTGAGTCTAGAGAAAACGTTACGAAGAAACACGATATGAAGCTTCTAAGCACAAACCTGAGCTAAACACCGCCAGTGGTTTGATGTTGTGATCAGAAGGTTTAAAAAAATGTGTAAACACCAGACATTTGACTTGGCTTCACTTTGTTTGTTCGCCTAATTTCTTGCAAGACAGTATTTGCAGATGCAGTTACATAAAGTTTGCTAAGTGAAGACTTCCCTGAATGGAGATGACAGAAAACTACAAGCAAAACCTTTTTATTTACCGTTCACATTCTTGTACAACCCTTCTGTTGAACAGAGCATCCAAGGAAAGAGGCTGCCATGTCTGCCTGTCAACCTGCCAGTTTATTTCACTCATTCATGTTATTGCACGAAAATGGTAAAATGTCAAGCAAATGCAAGGAACTTTCCCTTTTGGACCCTTGAGTTGTTTTATATCAGGAAATTAGGTATAATTGCATAATTTGGGAAGTAGAAATCTTAAAGAAACAGTACTGGATTTCTCGTGACTGTTAGATATTTTAAGTGCTTTGGAAGATTAGACTTTTAAATTAGGATCTAGGTGTGTAATTGTTGCCATTATGTGTTAATTTGTGGTTGTTTAATTGAAATTTTTTTTGTGTGTTTTTGTATTTTGATCGTGATCGTTTTTCCTTGTTTTATTTTCTGTATGGCATTTTGTTTCTGCCATTGTTTCTTTTGTTTAGTTTGTTTTGTGGTTAGTAATCTGTCTCATTTGGATATAAAATAGTACCTTTGACGTTTTCCAAGTTTTTGGTGGTTTTACAAACCTTTTATGGTGAGGTTAAAGAGCAAGTCACCCCCAAATAAACTTTTTTTTGCTGATAAACTATATAAACGTGTGTCTAATGGTGCTGCAGACACGTGTTGTCAATAATTTGGCACTTCAATGCATCTTGGTTAAAATTTAAACATTCTGCCTAAAACTGGCAGTGTTGTGCCGTTGTCAGGTAAAAACTCTGCACTGTATTTTAATTTAAATCTGCCACCGCTATTGGCTAAGAGGTATGCTATGATGTAAACTGGTACATTATGATGTCACAATGCTGTCCTGACCCTGTGTGTGTGTGTGTGTATTTGTTAGCAGCTCCGCCCTCTCGGTCTGCCTGGCAACAGCATTTGTTGCATTTTCAAACATGAAGTGGGAGTGGAGTTAGACTCTGGCAGGGGGTGACTTGCTCTTTAAATCTTTTTGTTGATTTTTCAGGGTTTGGCTACTATAGCCTTAAATACTGACTGCCTGACCCTTTGATCCTTGAATTTCTGCCAAGTTAGTCTAATATAATTTAAGGATTTTCCTAAATTGAAATATGAACTAGATTAGACTTTAAACAGTCAAGAAACAAAAAACTCTTGACAAAGTCTTGTTTTATTGCTTAGCATAATCTGAAAATTTGGAATTAACAGGCGATTCGTCTGAGTTTACATGAACTCAGCCTGACGTTGGGTTTCATGGAACCAACATAAATCTTAGATTTGTCTCCTCTGATTCCAAACATTGCTATTTACGTCCTGGGAATGAAGTCAACTGCCTTGAGCTTTACTTAAAACCCGAGGGTTGATTAATCTTGACTGACTTGAGTCTTGGACAGTGAGCTCAGAGGGCTGACAGGCACTTCTACAAGCTCTTGCACACACATAAACACCACCAGACGACCACTTTCACCAGAGAACTTAAAAAAATTGACGGCTAACAGATTTCCCACAGTATACTTCTGGCGTGTGACAGCTGATCCTGCTTCTGATTATAGCGCTATGTGTGTGTTCTTTTCTGCAACATGTTTGCAGTTTGGGACTCACACAGGCATGCTGCTGAAGTTTGTGCAAGAGGTGCTTGGCAGGTACAAAAAAGTCCAGGAGGTAGCGAAGACTGTCATGTTGATAGGTTGACTCCAGCACTGAGAAGACCTAGACAAACAATGGAGCATTTAGCAAAAACAAGCATTAAAGTGCTGGATCTAGAGCACATTTCAGGATTATGCAGTGATGTTTGACATTCTCAGATCGTCAGCTTCCCATAAATTAATTCAAAGCCTTTGTTTTGAGCAATTTTTTCAAAAAGTTTTTCATTTGGTCTTTAGAGGCATAGTTTAATCTGTTCAAACAAATGTTGGAAGACCATGTCTGACATTTGCAGCAGCAGGGAATAACATGGAGGCATGGAACAAACTGTGGCTGTGACCTATTTTAAGTGGGCCGAGACTTTTGACTGCAAACCTGAATGGTCTATCCCTCAGGTTTATTCTCATCCTTACCTCGGCACACTTTCTGTTTGCCTACCACTACTGCACTAAACACAAGCTAGTGACACTGGAGCTCAAAACATGACAGATTTTTTTTTTTACTTATCCTCGAGGAGCTACAAGAGCTTTGCCACCATATGTGATGACTTTTCTCATAATCCTTAACAAAAATGACATTAAAACAATTATTCAAACAACATAAGCCTGACAACACAACCATGTTAAGATTTTCATTTTTGCATTGCCAGATTTCCATGCAAGTTCACCTTAAACTGTCATCCTCTGCTGCTTTGAACAAAAATCTCCCATTTGGACCTAAATGAATCTTGAGATAAGGTGGGAAATGAAGGGTGCATCCTGGGTAAAGACGGACACATTTGAGCCTTTGAACTTAGACAGCCTTTGTCGTATCGCTGTGACGTAAGTGACCTTCACATTCAGCCTGGCTGGAACCTACACGGCTGCTTTACCAAGCGACTGGTGAAGGCTGTCAGATGTGCCGTTATCTCCATGGTAATAGTGAGTTCAGAAGAAAATGTCTGCTTCTAATCCAAGGCAGTTTCTGAAATAAAATGAAAAGTATAAAGTTCCTATTCTGGTTAACTACTTCTTTGTTGGAAGATTAACTTTCATGTTCAATAAAAGACAAAGCTCACAACACTTCAAAGGCTTGGAAGTCGGCACTTTTCCACTGGATTTCAAAAAGATTCATGGATGAGAGGTATGGCACAGTGTGCACTAAGGAAAAAAACAGTTACCAGCTTTTATGGCTACCCTGGTAAATCCTTTGCAGTATAGAGGTCTTTAAGCCTCCAGAGAGACTACAGCGTGACTCTAGACGCGTTGATGGTCTCCGTCTGCGTTATGATGGAGACATGGATCTAACAAGTCCCACTCATCTTCTTGCTATGATTCAATAAAAGCAAAGTCGGCTAATCTTTTAGCCACCTTTGGTCTTTAAACGTACGTTTTTTCATCATGTTACTTGTGGCTCAATTGTTAGCTTCATTTAGCAGCTCTAACCAGCAGTTAGAGCATGGTTTCTCCTGTAAAAACACACCGAGTCTAAACAGGAGCGTCTGTTTTCTTCCTGCAAACTTTAATCAAACATCACCTTCTATTATTTGTGCAGTTATTTTTGCAAGAGCACATTTAGCACATTTACAACATGATTTTTCATCTATGCACTCTCCCTCTTAGGACTAGATATTTGACCATTCTCTTTGTAGAGATGCATCCCAAAACGATTTAATGTACATGTGATCTCACCTGTGAGAGGAGGGGTGGCGCCGTGCTCTCAAAAGGAGGGTACAGCGATGAGAGCGCCCCCTGCACACAGTCCTCCATCGCCTCCGAGCCCTTGGAGACACGAAGAACAAACACGAGTCAGTTAAGCGAATCAGCTCTGATGTGTGTTTAACAGCTTGGTTGCCTCACATACTGCTGACACACCCACACACACACACACACATTAATATACACACACCACTTTCAGCTTCCTGTTTTATGGCCTGGGGAGTGTCAAACATTTCCTCCAAGGACCAGTAAATGTACGAGTCTACCAAACAAAAGTGTGTGTTATCTCCATAATTTAAATGCAGCTGCACACACATGTTTATCGGAGCGCTGGGAAAGCCTGAGAGGTGGAGGGTGACAGAGCAGAGCAGCTTTTATTGTTTATTTTTCTACTTGGACCGTTGGCATGGTAACCAGCAACTTTTTTCCTTGCTCCCTTCACATTTCCCCCTCAGACCTTCCATCTGTTTTGTTCCATGTTTTGCTTTGTTTCGACCCTGCCTTCTTATTTTCGAAAAGCGGTTCCTCCCCTGCAGGACTCTGAATGTCATCTGACAACAATTACATCTGGTCTCCCGGCGCATTTGACTGAAAGATTAAAGCGATCGGGGGATAGACTGAGAGCGATTGGTTAAGAAACAACAGAGAAGTTAGAGAAAGTGGAAAAAGAGATGAGCGGCGATTGTAAAGACAGCCAGGAGTGAATGAGCTGGAGGTGATGGAGGAGGGCTAGGCTCAGCAGGACTGAGAGGACCTTTTTGGGTTTGTAGTTGGGGTTAGACACAGCAGAAAACAGAACGAGCATTAAAAACAAGCATATTGTTCTTGCCCCTCCCCCTCACACACAGACAAAATAAATCCAACAGTTGAGGTTTTTGGCTGGGTTCAAGCACATGTCACGCTCTGGTTTAGTCTGGTTTGGCCTGAAATCCCCATGTCAGAGAGAAGAAGTGGTTTGAGACAGAGGTAGGTGGACAGAGATCGTCTTCAGTGTCTCGTGTTCTGACTCACTTTGGATAATTAGCTCTTTTTTCTAAGCTTGGCTGAAGGTGAATACCAAGAGAGGTCTGGTTCTGGGCTTCAGAGATGGGAAATACCAAACTTACATAAACCAAACAGCTTAGACTTTGAGGGAAGAAAACCACTTTTAACGAGCACGGAAAGCACACAGAATCCTCATTTTGGTTTAATTTGTGCAGCAAAAACAACGTTAAACTTGCTTCTTTTTGTATTGGACGATTTCAAATAATGAAACTCAATGAGTATCACAGAGGTATGTGAAAAGGAAGTCCCACAGGTTCATAATCATCTTTAGGTGCAGAGGAGTTGTGGTCAGTAACAGCCTGAGAGGCTGAAGCTTGGTTTATGCTTGATGCATTCACTTTCCGCTTGGTGATGCGGCTCGCGGATGGAACGCGCCTCACAACTTGCAGCGTTTATGGTTCATGCGGCTTGTCTCTGCGGTGAGCCAATATTCTCCCAAACTGTAGGGGGCAGCATGGAGCTCTATGGCATGCATCCAACACTACACCGTAGTAGAAGTAGAAATTACTGTTATTTATAACAGTTGTTAATGAAAGTTGAGAGCCAACTCAGCTCTTTTAGAATTGGTGTGTGTTCTTGTTTCCACCAGGATCACCGCTTTTCCGTTTGTTCCCCTTCCTTGCCTTCACATATCGGTCCCTCATGTTTTTCCAGCATTTTTTAACAGCGTCCTCGTCTTTTCCGACAGTGCGAGCTATTTCTCTCCAAGAATTATTAACAACATGTTGATCACTGTGATCTTTGAGAGCTGAATCATACAAATGTCTGTATTTACGAGCTCTGCCATATTTAGTTCTTGCCGGTCCGCCATGTTTTTCCATGTTCGACCGTCAGTGTGGTTAGAAAATTTCCTAGGTGCGCGGTGCGGAAAGTTTGGGCCGTGCGGGAGGCCAGGTGGAGGGGCGTGGTTGTAAAAATGGCGCAATTTTGCCGTGCGGAGCCGTGCGAACCTCAGGGATGCGTCAAGCATAAACCAACCTTGAGGCCAAAGGAGGTGGTGAAACACAGCAGGGGGAGAAAAGAACTCTTAAGCCGGGCGTACACTGTGCAACTTTTTCACTTTTTTGAGCCGATTTTCCACTCGTGCGAGAATCCACGAGATCGGGGCGAGTTTTGCGCCGAGCGTCGTGTAGTGTACAGGGGGTTACGAGAGGCGATTAACACCACGTGACCAGCTGCCGATCAGCAGTCGTGAGCTTGCACGGACTTCTGGCGTGTTTAATATTTTGCTCGTCCCTCGTGAGGGTATCGCACTGTTGAAGCGGCGCTGCGAGCAGCTGCGACCCAAAAAGTATCAGAACCGCTCACGGCGCATGCGCAATCCTGCATCAACACCACTTGCCCGCTATTTCCCTAATAACACACGCTGTTCGTTTTTGTTTCTACACGTTTTTTACTCCCAAAGATTGTCAAGAAAGTGTGTTTGTCATGTTCATGTCAAATTAAACTGATCACAAAACACAGATTTACTTTCTTTATTTCGTTTTCCTCATCCAACCCCATAAATCCCTGTGTGTCCTCCTGCAGCACTCCCGAAAGACAACAGGCAAAACAAGACAAAGTCTGACGTGTTGAGTAAAAACTGATATTTTTAGCATATTTTTAGGGCCGACGTGTTGCTACCAGACGTACAGTGTGAGCACATGACTCGTGAGATCTGCCCTGTGAGGAAGTCGTACAGTTTGAGCTGATGCTGAGTGCTACGAGTGAAAAAGTCGCACAGTGTACGCCCGGCTTTAGACTGGAGCATCCCCACAAAACTTAAATTAATTAAACAATTCATTTAAAACTCTGCTTTTACAGGCCTTTTTAAAAGTTAAAGCCCTACTAGTTGTTCACACTGGTGTGTAAAACTTGTTCTTTGTATTTGACCCATCCTCAGGGGGAACGGTGAGCTGCAGACACGGCTGCGCTCAGGAATTATTCAATCCAACCCCTTAAAGCTGAGTGTCAAGCAAGCAGGTCCCATTGTTAAGGTCTTTGGTATGACCCGACAGGATTTGAACCCAGGGTGGACACTCATACCACTAGGCCACTGAGCTGGTGTTTGTTGAGATCATAAAAAAAAAAATCATTCCAGTTCTTTGTTGTGTTTTTAGCTTTAGTACCAAGCAGCTTCTGACAGGCAGGCAGCTCTGTTATCTAACTCTATCTTGGTCAAAAGAGTTGTTAAAGATCCTATTTGCAACTCGTCCCAGCTTGGGTGGACACACTGAGTCTGTGAGCTCTTTGTAGAATTGTTGGTACAACCCAGCCAACCAGGATTACGATTAGCTTCGGTTTATGCAGAAACTAACAAATCATCTGCTCTTGCTGCTTTGGGACAAACCACCAAGCAAAGGTGTGGACTGGAACCATGACTTTGATCATACTGCTATGACGTACACTCAAAAGCCAGGAATCTGACTCAAGTCTCTGTTCAAACACCAATGACCCGTGACTTCTCTTATAAATGTAAAAACAAATAAATAAATAAAGCTGTCTCTTGGACTTTTGCTTTGGAAACCTGCATATCTTTAGTTTAAGCTAACTGTCCTAAAGCTCAAATTAACATCCAATCAAAATCCAGAGATGAAGCATGAGAATCGCATTACCACATGCTAGTCAATGGAATATAGTAGCTATTTGTTTATTTGCTTACACTAATTGCACATTGGTCAGACTTACTGCACATGAAATGTGTGGGTCAATACTTGAAGAAGCATCAGAGACCAACTTTGTTCTATTAAGATACACAAAAAGCTGTAAGTGAAGGCCACTAGCATGTAGTTACAGTCAGACTGGTGGAAATATGCTGGGTTACTAAATAGTTTAAGAAGACAACAAAAGTATTTCTCAATTGGTAGCCCCGTTGTTAGTTGATGTTGTCTCGAAGTAAGAAGATCGCAGGTTCAAATCCCTGTTACGGCCTTCCTGCATGGAGTTAGCATGTTCATCTCATGCATGCGTGGGTTCTCTCCGTGTACTCCAGTTTCTAGTCACAGATTATAAACATGCATGCCAAGTTAATGGTAGAGGCTAGACTGTCCCTAGGTGTGTGTGTGTATGTGTGTGTGTGTGTGTGTGTGTGTGTGTGAGAGAGAGAGAGAGAGAGAGAGAGAGAGAGAGAGAGAGAGAGAGAGAGAGAGAGAGAGAGAGAGAGAGAGAGAGAGAGAGAGAGAGAGAGAGAGAGAGAAATCCAGCTTTTATGAATTGGGGCCCTAAGCAGGAGGAGTTGGGTCTGCAGAGACTGCAGCATCCTCTTGTGGCAGATGAAGTATACTGCAACCTAATTCAACAGTAACATCACACAAACAATAGCGGGGAACATTATCGTTATTAGCACAGCAGAAACATCATGTTTTTGTTCAGTCTCTGTAACAAAGTTGGTCAAATGACTTGTTTGGGATTCGAACATCATAGTTTAGAACTAGACACTTGAATGGAAAGACACGAGACTCAGTTGTGACTTATCCACGTCTGCCACCAACACTGTTTTGTTTTTGTCTGTTAAATATTGAGATTTCCTTCTATTTGCCTCTGACGTGTCCAATCACAACAGGATATACCCATGTTTATGACAGAAGAATGGAATTGCAGTGTGGAAGCGGAGCCAGGAAGGACCGTTCAGAGGTATTCTGCTGTAAAGTCAACAGAAATGACCAAAAACTTTGTTTTTGTGGTTTAGAAAATGTTTTAGTGATGCAACAAAGAGGCATTTCGGACCAAGTTCACTCACGTGGTTCAAAGTTCTGCAGATGGGATAAATCTAGCTCTAATTTAACATTTTCTTGGTCCACTTTCATAAACTTTGACTTGGGTGATTTTAACTGACATTGACATAATTAATCATTAAAGCTTTAAATTGTTTGACTACAGACATCTGTCTGTCATGCTCCACATGTGGATTTGTAGGTTTAAGGTATTCCTAACTCACAGAACATCAGAAACCAGTAAGATTAGAATGCAACAATACTTTTAGTTTGTTCAAAGCCTGGAAAAAAGATCAGAACTTATTAAAGAACAATATTTATCAGCAA